CAAAATAAGCATTTTTATGATGAGAAATTCTTGTGTTCCCAACAGACAAAATCCTGAAGGGAAAAAGGAAGGAGCGTGTTCGCTTGGGGGGCACAGGTATTCTAAATGGTCTGCTGGATGAATTGCTACAGAAGCAAGTGCTGAACCAGGAGGAGATGCAGATTATAAGACGTGAATATACGGCAGTTATGGACAGGGTCTGAGCTTTGGGGGATGCCCTCATCGCCAAGGAGCCCCAGGCCGGCCAGATCTGTAGCAGTCACCTCTGTGAGGAAGACTGCCACCTCGCTAGGACACTGGGACTCCGCAGGTAAGACTCAGCGGTCGAGCTGAAGGTCACACAGCCCATGCGTCTGCGCATACGAGGCCTCATGTCTTGTTTCTTTGTTTTTTAACTCACTGCATATTTGTGGTGTTGTTTAATTCACTGCTCACTCTTTATTTTTGGAAAAAAAATGAAAATTAAAAGAAAGTGAAGGGGCCGGGGAGATGGCTCAGTGGAATAAGTGCTTCCCTGGCAAGGGCAAGGGCCTGAGTTCAATCCCTGGTTCCACAAAAAAATAAAAATAAAATAAAATAAAATAAAGTGATAGGGAAATAACAATAGTTGATATCCAGTTAAGAAATTTCACGTTTTCGTCTTCAAAATAGTTACTCAGTATACAAGATGTAGTCATAAAAACTTCTCCAAATGACAGTAGCACAACACTATCTTTTCAATGAACTAAGAAGAACTAGTACTATAAATATCTTGTATTTTTCCATTGTCTTTTATGATACTATTAGTGTAGAGATACGTTCCTAAGGCTCCATTTCTGTGTCAGCAGCGTCTCTGCAGGCCTTTTCTCCTCTTGTTTTTCTGCATGAGTTTGGTTTAAACGACCTTTCCTCTGAATCTCTGGTCCCGTTCTGTATACAGTTACTCATTTCTTGAGGTTCATAAAAACAGTATTAAAAGCGTCAAATGATATCCTTTAATCCTTAAGGTCGGACACTCTTGGGTTCATGAATATTAAGCTCCAGACTCACTGTGGATTTATGTTCCTATATGATGTCAAGACACAGGCATATAATCTAGCACTTTCCATAAACTATCTCCAAAGTTTGCTTTCTAGGAAATACAACATAGTTGCCTGGTGGTGCGACACTTAGAGAATAAATGGAAATATCTACAGCAATGGAAGGCTTTACCACAGCCTCCCGCTCTCAGGCGTGACCTCCATTTCCTTTCCTACTCAGGACTGTCCACCAGCACGGCGCACTTCCAGGACTGAATTAGGCTGCACCTCCCAGACTATTTGCAGGTGCCTCTGAGGTGCTGGCAAAGTCCTTTTTCAGTCTGGCTAGATTTATATGTGGTTTCTGAGTTTATCTATGTGCCATGAATTCCGTATTTTTCTCTTGGTATTTTATTTTCTTTTTAATTCCTGCAAAGTTCCTTAAATAAAAGATAATTAGCCAACAACAGTTAGGATCTGGAATGACTGTAAAATGGCCAACGTGTCTTCTTCATTTCTCAATTTCTGTCCTTGAATCATAGAGTGATTTCCACTGACTATTATGACTGTTCTCACAATGGAAGTCTGACTTTCTAGGTATTGAGGGTATTTCCTCACTCAGGCGATTTCCCAGGTCCTCTGTGTCATATTTAGAGGTCATGATAACAGCCTTATTTTCTTCTCTGATATTCAACACAAAATTTCTTTTACATTTCCAAAACATAAAAAAAGATGAATGTCCTGGATTCAATACCCAGACTACAAAAACACAATTATGATAACTCTGCAGGTGAAAGCACTCTTTGTCTCATCCTTCCCTGGATATTTCTCTGGGAAGGTCACTAACTTAGCTCAGTCCTGGAGCCGAGTTTCAGCAGAAGGGCCCAGTAATTTTTCTGCTGTGCTAAACCTTAGCAGCAATAGTTTGCTGAACGCTGTGCCCTGTTGCCCACTTTCTCTAAGGCCAAACCGGCTTGGTTCAGACAGCTTCGCTTTGCACACACCTGCTGTGCACTAGCAGTTTGCTCCAGAGCCACCTTGAATTCTGTGTGTCAAGTGCAATTTTGACCCTATTGCTGACGATTTCCCAGTCTCACTTTCACTACGGACACCTTTGGTTCTGCTGAGCAGCTGTCCACTCATGAGCACAGGAAGGCTTTCTTCCCCAGAGCTGAGTGTGGGCACCTGTGTTGCATCTCCAAGGGGATTATTAATGTGTCGTGTCTGTGAATGGAACTGTCAGCAGGGAGTGTCCAAAACACCAGGCAAAGTTCATTTGAGATCATAACTTTCATTGTCTTATATCTCTCTGCAGGTCCACAAGCAGGAAATGACTGTAGTACACAGGATTCCCGAGAAATGATTCCCTCTGCCTCAGGTAATGAGTTCAAGGAAAAGCATTCTCTAAAGCCTCATTTTTATAGTCATTTTTTTAAAAGGATAAAGCGAGGAAGAGGGGGGTCTAAGTAGTAATTCTCATGGGTTGATCTAGGCCTTTGTTCTTTCTGAATTTAGTCGGCTCTACCAGAATCGTTCTTGCACCACTATCCATACCTACAATAAAAACTTGTGATGCTGTGTCTCAAATCCTAACTTATCTTTTGAGTGCCAGGCTTTGCAACTCAAGTGCCTAGCAAACGTATACACTGAGGTCCCCCTGAGACACCTTCACCTCAGACTCCCAGAGATGCACTCACGGCTTTCCCCTCCTCCTCCTGTCCCAGTTCCCCCTGCCTGAGTAGCGGCATCACTGCGCCATTTGTTCAGACCTGACACCCAAAATTTATATTTGGTTCTTTCTCATTCTTAACTTTCAGATTTCAAGGAGCGGCTGAGTCTCCTTGATTCCTCTCTCGCGTCTGGATTCATCTCTTCTTTTCCTCTCCTGCTGCTGTATATCAGAGTGCACATGCCCACCGTGCACAGCGATTCTCCATCCACAACTTTTACTCTGTTTTGCAGCTCAGAATCAGAGCGAACCTCACGTCTCAGCCTCCCCAGCACTGGGCTACAGGCACGCGCCACCACACCCGGTTTCAGGGCTGGCTTCGTGCACACGGTGTTCTGGGCTCTGCGCCACATACATTACAGGGGTTGGATGCCAGGTCTCAGCGTTTGCCAGGCAGGTGCTTCAGCAGCCAGAGTACCTCCCCAGCCCTTAATGGCTTTAAGCATATATATTTTCTTAGCTATTTCTTGGAATGGGATTCTCATTATATATCAAATATCTTATTGTATTACTAAAAAGCTGCCTTTATATACTTTAAATAGTTCCATTTGTTTTTGCTATTGATATCCAAACATCATTATACCAAAACAGCATATTTTTCCCAACTAATGATTATTTCTAGGGTTTTCTCCAATATAACCATTTTAATTGGCAGATCATTGTTCCCATCAAAATCTTTAAGGACATTTTATTTCACCTGGTTGAGGTTTCTTTTTTTTTTTAATATTCCTCTTTAAAATTAATATGTTTCGAATTTTAAAGTTTAGTTTCTAAGATTTTCCAGATATCTAGATAAGTTATTTCTATTTTAAAAAGCAAAAGATAGATGAAATTCTTCAGTGCATTGCAGTGTTGGATGGTATATATAGTAAAATAAAGCCTTTTCTCATATCAAGTACTGGAGGAACTTTTCCTTTCACAGTCATGAAATCAGTGTTTAGTGGGATGACTCCACCTCATGCGCATACACCAGAGCATGCTTCCTTCTACTTCAGCTGTGCTATCTGCATATTCAGTGTTGCCACTGCTACTTTTGTGAGTACACTGCAGAAAATGACCCTGAAGAGCAGGAAAGACATATACTTGAAAAGAACCCATAATACCTGCTATCATGCTTCTTAAATACATAGAAAAATATGTATGCTTTACAAAACACTTAAATAGAGCTAAGACATATCTCTAATCATATTTTTGCCTTCGGTATAATTAAAAAATTTTAATTTATACCATAATTTTCTTCTAACATATTGTTTTCCCACTACTTTGTCATGTATAGACAGGAAGAGCTCCCTTTCTTTATGTTTATTTAGATGCCTGTCAAGATGGCTATTGCGGCAGGTAGATGTACCTCCCTGAGTCAAACCACTGGCCATCTCCTCTGGCCGGAATTGTGCTCTACTAGCAACGAATCTGCTCTACTGTTTTAGCACATATCCCAGGGCTGTGGCCCTGGACCTCACTGCTTCTGTGTGGCCCCTCATAGTTGATTCTGTTAAGAAGACCAAGGGAAGCAGTCAGATGCGACTATTCATGTTTCTTGTCTCTTGCAGCTTCTCGGGAAGTACAGGACAATCAATCTGTGTTCATGTCCTTAGGACCAGCAGGAAGCCTGGAGTTTTGCTCCCTGGAAATGGCCCAAGAGATATGGAAAGAAAAGTCAGCAGAGGTGCTGTGCTCAGAACACCAGATGGGACTTGAGTGTCTATAAAGTGAAGTGGCCCTAACTGAGGGCCACGTGTAGTGAGATTTTCTGCTGAACCTTCTGGCTGCTCACCTACAAGATTCCCACCTCCTAGAAGCTCAGGCTTAGAGAGAGAGCTCCACTGCTCTAGATAAATAAAAATTGTACTAAAAGCAACGTCATGGCTGGTATTGGATGCTTTCTATGAATCAGACATTACTATAAATATTCCGCATATTAGTGATGTTAACCTTAGAAATCAGCCCTTTTGAATCTCAGGGGATTGTTAAATGCTTTGTCCAGATTCAGTGAATCAGAAAGTGAAGGTGTCAGTTTCTCATGTCCATCATCCTGGTGTCAGAGCTTGTGTGTTTTTCAAACATATCAACTTGTCAAAATACAGGCAGATGTTCAGCTGTCAACTGGGATTTGCGAGCTCCAATTCTGTCTCTGAATTAAGCCTCATTTTCCTTCCATACTCTTAGTAGATTGTTCATGTGACTTATGTTTTCTTTTCTTTTTTCTTTTTTTTTTTTTTTCATTTATTTTTGGTACTTGGGATTGAATTTGGGATGGTAGGCTTGCCAAGCAAGGGCATATGCATGCTGAGCTGTCTCACCAGCCCCAAGGAATTTGGTTTCTTAATAGAATTAAGGAAGGAGAAACTGCTTTAAACACACCTGATGAGGACTGAACTAAAGGAAATACACCTTTCATTCAATCTGCCTTTCTTACAGACTTATCCAATAATGAATCAGTTGACCCGCACACGTCTTGCCCTCATTATCTGCAACAGAGAGTTCGACAATCTTCCCAAAAGGACTGGAGCTGAAGCTGATATCAGAAATATGAAAACACTTCTAGAAGGCCTGGGATACCAAGTGATTGTGAGAGAAAATCTCACGGCTTTGGTAATATTTTTGCTCTATAAAGACAATGACTACATGCATTGCACCCATAAATAACATTAGAAAAGAAAATTATCATACTAGGAAACTTAATTTCTTGGTCTGTATTTGAAATTTTCCCCTGGAAAGTGCTTGGTGTTGCCTGTTGTCTGCAAATGCAGGAGTCTTTTGGCAAGAATCCTGTGCAACTTTGTATCAGGAAGTCTCTTATGAACTCAGGAAGGTCACCCTCTCTCTGCTAGAAATCTCAAGATGACTTTCTATAACTTCTGCTTTCTTCTCTTGTCAGAGATGTGAGATGTCAACTTTCTTTAATACCTTGCTGATTTTCTTGGGATGACTCAAGGAATTCCTTAATTGTTTCTTAGTGGATTCTTGGCATGCCGTGATCACAGGGTTCAAGTTGGTGGGGTGATATTTTTCAGGAAGTGGCTACAGAGGTGAAGGCATTTGCAGCCAACCCCCAACACAAGACCTCTGACAGTACTTTTCTGGTCTTCATATCTCATGGCACTCACGGTGGCATTTGTGGAAAGAAATTCTCTCCAGGGGATGTAGATCTGTTACAGGTCAACACCATCTTTCCAATGTTGGACACTAGCAACTGTTCAAGTTTGAAGGACCCACCCAAGGCGATCATCATCCAAGCCTGCCATGGAGGTGAGAGCTGATCCTGTTAGGACAAAGCATTCAATTCCTGACCTTATTGTTCATATACATCAATATTTTTAGAGCACCTAAAAATAAAAATGTATCTATGTTGGTTACTCAACCAGATGTGATTCCTCTGAATTGTGTCACTAGTTGGAAAACACTAGTTTTACTTTTAACTTAGGGAGATTCCATTTTTAATCTTAAAATTTTGATGTTTAGAGGTCCTTCATTTGAGGGTAAGGGAAATAAGAACTGTTGATAAGATGGATCCTGAAATGTACATATATATGCAGAGTAATGACATTACATGACGTAACATATGTGAAATGCATTGAAGTTATGAATAATGAATTATTTTGGATTTTTGTTTGTTTGTTTGCTTGTTACTGGGAATCAAATTCACAATGTCATGCTTCCCAGGCAGACACTGTGCTGCTGAGATATGTCTCCAGCTAAATTAATTATTAGGTCACAGTTCTGAAGGTGTTTGGAGGAAAAAGCAGTGTTTCTGAAAGTTGATGGTAAAAGAAACCAAGTATTTTCTTTACAGAGAAGCAAGGTGTGGTGTGGTTAAAGGATTCAACAAGACACCATGGAAATATAATCTTCAATCCCAAAGGTTTGGAGTTTGAAGACACAAATATTGGCTATGTAGATGATGTGCTGGTTCTCTGCACTTCAACATCAGGTAATGGGTTTCTATCCATAACAGATCAGTAGGGTTACCAATGGAGAAACTCCCAGCATTTAAGAGTCTGGATGCCGGTGCTTAATTTTCCATGAAACTTTTGAAGACCAACTCACTTTTCTTCCAGTAACATATCCAATTAACCTTCTTCATGAAGACATGATGGATATGTAATTTTCTACTAAAGCAATCATTAATAAAATATTGTCATGCTGTAGAATATTTTTTACTTTAACTTGGAAGGGTAGCCATGATGTGAATGGAAAACTGTACTGAAGTCAGTTGTACAGTGACTTCGCAGAAGAAAATGCGCACAATGTTGAGACCCCTTGCAGTTCAGTTTCTAAGACTTTATGTATTTATAGAAGAGGGTGTTGGGGGCAATGGGGACACAAAGCAGAC